CCTCTGCGCGGCTGCTGCACCACTTTGACCGCGTGCGGTGGCCCGCCACCATCGTTGGTGGTCAACGCTCGCTCCAGCCTCTCCGCCATTCCTATCCCGTCGCCCCCGACCTTGAAGTCAGTACCGACCACCGACGACGCGACGCGACGCGACACAACCAACGGCACGACACGACACGACACGACCAACGACACGACACGACACACAACGGACCTGGGAACATGGAGGTGCCGCCGGTGAGGATCACGTTTGCGCTCATCTCGTTGCGCATCTTCAGCGGCCCACTGTCGCGCGCCGCCTTGGCCAGGGCGCCCAGCCCGCCCTTCTCCTCCTGTTCTTGCTCTTGGCCTTCTTTTTGCTTCGCTGGCCACGACGGCGTCGTCCCAGTCCTGCCACGACCGGCTCCAGGGTTGGTCAAGGCCAGCAAGAGGTGCAGGTGCAGCGTGGTGGCCTGGTGAGGTGGTGGTGGAGCCCAGGGCGGCGAGCAGCTGGCCGGTGGGTTGGGCGAAGGTGGGCTCCTCGAAGCCGGCCAGGCCGCCACGCACGTTGCCCTCGCCCACTGCCACCACCACTGCCTCCAGTGGCTCCCCCGCGCTCGGCCTCTTCGTCCGCAACATGTCCTCCTGCCTCTTTTCTATTTTTTTCTTTTTTTGAATGTTTGTTCTTTTTTTATTTATGTATTTTATTTTTTTAATGCTGACGTGTACAAAGCACGTGCCCACAAGCGGTGGTGGGGGGCGATCAGGGGAGGAAGGCAGTGGCGAGCTGCACCCAGTCGATCTCCTCGCTTTCAGAGGCGAGCTTGACGTTCTTCTTCTGACGCGCGATGAACTTGAGGGCCTTCTTCACCACCAGGTCCCAGTTGGTCTTCTGACCGGGGAACCTCTTCTGCAGGAAGGCCGCCACCACGGCCGTCGCCCACAGCGCCTCCACCTCCTTGTCCACTGTTGTTGTTCACCACCAACCACCAACCACCAACCACCAACCACCAACCACCAACCACCAACCACCAACCACCAACCACCAACCACCAACCACCAACCACCAACCACCAACCATCACCACCATCGTGCCATTCATCATCAGCCCTGGCCCAACGTCGCACAACTGCACACGCACACGCCGACCGCACACACAAGACGCACGCCCGCGTAACACGGAACACAGAGGCGTACCGGTGAGGAGCTTGGCCGAGGGGATGCCGCTGCGGAGCTTGTCGGCGGTGAGACCCACGAGGCCGGCGGCGTCGCTCCAGTCCCAGCTGCCGCTGGCCTTCTGCTTCATGATGATGTCCCGCATCTGCGCCGGCGGCGGTCCCGCCTTCTCCTCCTCCTTCTTCTCCTCCTTTTCTTCCTCCTTCTTTTCCTTCTTCTGCACCTGGAACTTCGGTTCCTCTTCATCTTCGGAGGAAGCGTCGTCGTCGTAATCCAGCGCTGCGCAGCATTCCTCCTCCGCCTCGGCCTTGGCAAAGACCAAGGAATCGGTCGGCGGCGAATGCGACCTCAGCATCGACGAGGCCGACGATGAGCGAGGCGACCGGGACAGCGATTGGTTGATCTCGAGCGACGCCGCGGCGGCCGACGGTGCCAGCATCGGTCGGCCCGGAGGCGGCGCGCAGGCTGAAGTCGAAGCGGAGATGGGCATCGGCGCGCGGGGCGGTCCTCCTTCCACCGCGCTCGAGCGGGAGACCTCGCGTTTCCTGTACATGACGACGCTCTTCTTCGCCTTCTCCTTGTCCTTACAGTTGCGGCTGGAGGAGGACTGCACCGGCGCGGCAGCGCCCTTCTTGGCGCCGCCGAAGAACGAGAGGAAGCCGCCGCTAGCAGGCTTCGCGGCAGATTGACGTTTTTGCGGAGGACCGCCGCCGCCTCTTGCGCCAACAGACGACTGCGGCATTGCTGCACTCAGAACACAGCACGACACGACACGACACGACACGGCACACGACAATCAGAAGAGATGCGACCAGGGCAGGTGGCGCAAGTGGGAGGTGTGACGAGGTGACGTACCGAGCGGAAGGAGCACGGGGTGCGAGGCGGGCTGATGGTAGGCGGGCTTCTCGAAGGTGATGGGGATCTTGCGCACCTTCATGGTGCCCTCCGTGGCCTCGTCCCGCTCCTCCACCGCCACGAACGCCGTGTGCTTCGACAGCACCCCGCTCGCCAGCGACACCCGCACCATCTCCGCCACCACGTCCTTGCCCGCCTTCACCGCACCTTCCCTGTCGTGCACATAGCTCCGACCCTCCTCCAGATCCCTGTTGTCGTTGTTGTTGTTGTTGTTGTCCACCAACCACCACCAACCACCAACCACCAACCAACCAACAAACAACCAAACCCGTCAGCTCTTCATCTTCGATGTGTGCGTGCGGTGTGTGCGGTTGGGGGGGGGAGGGGAGAGAGACGGCACGCACTTGAGAAGAGTCCTCGCGGCGAGCTTGTTGAGCAGAGTGCCCTTGCTCGCCTTGCTCAGATCCACCTTCACCACCGCCTCGAACGGCTTCACTGCCGTCTTGGCCCCGATCACCACCTCCACCTCGCCTCCGCCCGCCTCATTGCCGCCGGCGGCGGCGGCAGAGTCATCGATGATGCCGTAGACCACGAGGCGACCGCCGCAGAACAGTGGCGGCAGCCTGAAGGGCGCCGGCTGCACGTGGCTCGCCGCAGCGCCCTTCCACGTGACCGTGATGTCGGTGAGGGCCGGCTGCATGGCCCGATGCAGCTGCCGCATGACCTTCTCCTCCATGGCCTCGCCCGACCGCACGAACTCGAAGAACCCTTCCTGTTGTTGGTGAATGCAAACAACAACACGCCAAGGCGGAGTTAAAATAGTGACTCATCTCACACTTGCGAGAGAGAGAGCAGCAGTCGGAGCTAAAACGTATGTGGCGAGAAGAAGTGAGGTGCGGGGTGTGTGGAGGGAGGGCAGGACGCACGCCAGCCTTGGCGAGGCCCTTGACGAGGTCCTGCGAGGCCTCGTTGCCCACGCCAAAGGTGAACACGCGCGTCGTCTCGGCGTGCTTGCGCACAAAGTCCACGCACTCCTGCGTGTTGCCCACCTCGCCGTCCGTCAAGATGAACAGCTGCCGCGGGTAGCCCTCCTTCGTTTGTGCCCGCAACACCTCCTGCAACGGCCGCAGGATGTTGGTGCCGCCCAGGTTCGCGCTCATCTCCTTCACATGCTTCGTCGCTATCTCCAGATTTCTGATCGTTGTTGTTGGTTGTTGGTTGTTGTTGCGCACCAAACACAACCACCACAGACGACAATCAGTTTCCGCCATGTCGTGCGTGTGTGTCGTGCGTGTCGTGTGTCGTGTGTGCGCGTGCGTTGTGTGCGGGTGATGGGTGGGTGGGGTGTGGGGGGGTGGGGGGTGGTGGGGGGGTAGTGAGTCGTACTCGTCGTTGTACTCGACGCTGCCCTCGCGGAACAGGT